CTACAGTAAGTGGTATAGTAGCTCCTTTGAGTCACTATAGCAACAATAAAAAATAATACTGAAAATAGTTAATATTTGCCTGTGCACACTCTGCCAAAAGCAGTGTGGGTGCCTTTAAAGCTTGGTCTCCTTTAACCTGCATCAAATCCCTATTAAATCCTTCTTTCAAATGAGGAAAGTGAGGCTTAGAGAGGTTAAGTCACTTGTTCAACCTCATTCAGCTATGAAAGTGTGGTCTGGACTCCTTAGTTACTATGCTTCCAAACAAATTCATGTCTAATGACCATTATATAAATCAGTATCTAATAATTATACTAAAAACAAACATATCAAGATCAAAACACCTCCAAAAAAGAAAAAAAAACTCTGAATAATAGCTACTTGCCTTTCAGTGCTTATTATGTGACACGTACTATTCTAAGCAATTTATCTACATTGGCTCATTTTATACTCACACTATCACTGTGAGGTAGGTACTGTCATCATCCACATTTTACACCTGAGGAAGCAGAAGCTCAGAGAACCTCTGTGTAGCTTGGTCAGGGTCACACAGCTAAGAAGGGATAGAGCCTGGATCTGAACCCAGGAAGCGTGGCTCTAGCACTCATGCTCTTAACCATGCAGCACACTACCTCACGAACACAAAAATAAATCTGGACATACTTCAGATTAGTGATGCAATTACTGAAGTCGATTATATAGACTTGAAGTCTAGCTGATCACTAAATATAAGACATTTAAATGTCAGCTCTCAAACTTTCTTTTTTTTAATTTTCATTTTAGTTATAAAATATCTTCCTAGAAGGACAAAGGCCCAGAAATGAAAACTCTGTCATCACTCTAGAAACCCACAACATGGAAACTGCGCATTAACTTGTAATTTCTAGACAGTTCACGTCTAGGCCTTGGGCTTCCTAACTTGCCTCTTCTTCTCCCCACGCTCCCTGGGCCCCATCTGGGCATCCTTGCTAACCTGGTGCTTTCCGGCAGGAGGCAGTGCCCCTCCCTACTGACTGTAGCCTGCTTTGCCTCCTGAGTGGTCCCTCACCATACATCCCACCCTATTCCACGTTTACCGGAACCTTGGGAGCTTTAGGGATATTTCTTCACCTCATTTCTGGAGACCCTAGGAAATCCTGGTTTGGACTAGGATCTGAGGTTGGAACGGAGGGTGTTTGGGATACTGACTTTAAGGTAATTTCTAAAACATTGGTCCTCAGTCTTGCCTATACAATTGTGATCACCTGAGCAGTTTTTTTAAAAATTATTATTTGGGTTCCATTCCCAGTGTTTCAAATTGAGTTGGTCTGAGATATACCCTGGGCGCTCGGAGCTGCCAGGAGATCTAATGTGCAGCTGAAGCTGACAACCACTGGGTAAAGAGCAGGGTGTCTCAACTTCAGAACAATCGACATTCAGCACCAGCTAATTCCTTGTAGAATAAGTTACTCCAGATAATTCCCTTGTAGAATGTTTACCTGCATCCCTAGCCTTTACCTATCAGATGCCAGTAGTACTCTCCTCAATTGTGACAATGAAAAATGCCTCTAGACTTTGCCAGATGTTGGGGGTGGGGGTTGCAAAATCTTCCCTGTTGAGGACCACTGGTCTACAGCTGTTACTAGTAGCCTTGGATGTGAGAGAAGTCTCTCAAAAAGAAAGAAAGAGAAGCCTGGCTTCTATTGCAGCCTCTCTAAGAGGAAAATATATAAAGATGCCGAGGGGACCTGGCAGAAAGCCCTCCCGTCATTGGAGGAAACCTTATCAGGGTGCCTTCCCCCCATTTTTATAAAAGTTTTTCTATTTCTAAGCAAAGAGATATATTTTGGGGGAGCCTGGCAGAGGAAGGTACAGTAAGTGCTCAGTTAACATTGTCAACAGGTTCTGCAATTGGAAGTGACACAAATAATTAAACCAATTTCACCAGAGGCTAATTGGTATAAACAAGAGCTAAGTTCCTATGGCATCTCCTCAACATTATAACAAAACAGCATCGAATGAAATGATGATATTTGAGATTAGGGAATTAAGGAAATGTTACAGATCTTTCTAGCTGATCTGAAGCACAACAAAACTAAATCTTCTTTTAATTAGTGGGAACAGCCTGGCTTGGGTGAAATACTGTGTCTGGCTGACAAGTTTCTGCCAGCAGTGGAGACCAAGTACATGGCTTTGCATGCTAAATGGATGTAAATCCAGAATTTTGCCTTAGCTTTGCTGCCAAACTGATGATAAAATGAACGTAAAGAGGTGAGAGTCTAGGTATGTATAACTGTAGGGTTAGATAGAGCTCATTAGGAAAAGGCCAAGTTTGGGAATAAAGTGTTTTAGTGGTTGTCTTTGGGTTGTTTGGGCCCCAGAGGAGAGTGGGGAAGTGAGAGGAAAGGAAGCTAACCATGTCGTGGGCACATGGAGCTTAATCTCAATGGATGTTGCAGGGAGCCAGGGTCAAATGTGAGCCTCCAAGGTACGGGGGAGAGAGTGGGTGTTTTTAATCCACTGATTGCCATTGTCACTGGTTGAGGGCTGTGTGCAGGTCAGTTCGATCCTCAGCACTTTTGCCAGGTTCCAGTTTGGGCCTCAGGCAGAGTTGCCCATGTGGTGCTGGCAACCGGAAGCACTTAGTTGGCACTGGGTGGCGATTGCTGGTGGAAGGTAGGTCGGTGGGCAACTGGCAGCGCCTGCTACAGTGATCAACTTTAAATTTTATTTTAAGGTATTAGCTTTTACTAGTTAACAATCTTGAACTTTTAATAAAGATTTCTTTATATTAAGGAACATTGGGAAGGCACACTAATCTCTGCCACCCTCAAAGATACCTTCATCTTATTGTTTGAGACCATGAAATACTGTCAGGAAACCAGCAGCCACCAGACTCCTTCTCAGCTCCTCTTCCCCTCACCCCTTATATCCAGCCCACTAACAAGTTCTTTCAGGTTTACTGCAGAACACTTGGGAATTCCTCTGCTGCCGCCTCATTAGGACAGTGTTGTCTTTTCCTGAACCATTGCAACGGCCTCCTGAGCTCCCCAAATCCACTTTCCTTTCAGTTTCTTGAACCCACAAGGCTTCTTGGAATTCTCCTCCTCCAGACCCCACTTGAAGCCAACTACACCCTTCCCATGACTTCCTTCCTTTAGGTCTGGCTCAATGTCACTTCTTCATTGAAGCCTTTCCTCTCTAGAGAAAGATGTCCTGCCTTGGCTTGTGTGTCTCAGTGGTTTGTGTGCTGGCCTGCAAATCAAAAGGTCGTTGGTTCAATTCCCAGTCAGGACACATGCCTAGGTTTGGGCCAGGTCCCCAGTAGGGAGCATGCAAGAGGCAATCACATATTGCTGTTTCTCTCCTCTCTCTCTCCTTCCCTTCCCCTCTCTCTAAAAATAAACAAATAAAAATGCTTTAAAAATCTTCCCTTCCCACCCATTATTTTCAACTCAGTATCTGTTTGTTTTCTTCTTGGTATTTTAAAAAAGATTTTATTTATTTATTTTTAGAGAGAGGGGAAGGGAGGGAGAAAGAGAGGGAGAGAAATATCAGTGTGTGGTTGCCTCTTATGTGGCCCCCTCTGGGGACCTGGCCTGCAATTCAGGTATGTGCACTGACTGGGAATTGAACCAACGACCCTTTGGTTTACAGGCCTGTGCTCAGGCTGTAGGCTTTGAGCTGGTATAGCTCAATCCACTGAGCTATACCAGCCAGGGCTCCTCTTGGCATGTTTCACAATTTGTAAATGTGTTGTTTATCTCACATGTCTCACCCTCTAGAATGTAACCTCTGTAAGAGTAAGGAACATACAGGTCTGTCAGCTTGACCATCATAGCCTTCATAGGCTTGCCATATTTATTTAGCAAATAAAAATACAGGCTTCCCAGTTAAATTTGAATTCCAGAGAAATCCTGAATAGTTGTTTTAGTATAAGTATGTCCAAAGGACATATTCAATTATTCAGAGTTTATTTGAAATTCAAATTTTACTGGGAATCTTGTATTTTATTTGGCAACCCTAGTTTCTGGGCCCTGATACATTGGCTGACACTCACTACATATTGTTGAATAAAAATCTGGTAGCAGCATATCAAAACTGCTACTATGGCAACAAAGTGGGGGCAATGCGCTAAACCTACAGAACTAAAGCGACAAATACCACTTCCCATTCCTTTCTGTTCTGATGTGACTGTCTCCTCATCCCAGGAGAATCCCATCAACTCACCTAAAGTCCCGGGCAGCCCAGTGTTCTGGGGGGGACGGGCCAGGGGAAGGGAGGTGCTAGGAGCAGCTTTCCTGCCCAGCGCTGCCTCTGTTTTGTTGTGATCTGAGTACAGGGGCCTTCGGGCTTCTTTGGCCCAGATCTCCCCAGACTGTCAGTCAGCTCACTGAGGGAAGAGACAACTTCTTTCTTTTCAGTCATTCATCCCCAGTACCTCACTCTGTAGCTGGACTCATAGTAAGAACTCAAATCACGGCTACCTAATGGACTGATAAGTGAGAGAATAGTAGGGTTACTAACTGTCCTGCTTGTGTTAAGACTGAGGGAGTTTTCTGGGATGTGGGGCTTTCAGTGTGAAAAAGAGGCCAGTTGGTACCCTCAGTGAATGATGCTCACTCAGTGGCTGGGCTTCTTTCATTATCATTATATGGTCTGCTACATGACAGCTGGCTGACCTGGATGCCCATCTGTTTAAGGATGACATTAGATGTTTGAAGCCCTGCTGACCCAGTTTGCTTCCGTATGCTTGAACTGACTCCTGATGCCTTTGCCTTGGCTTCAGCCTAAACTCATGGTCTTTATGTTGGCCTGTCCTTCCTTGTGATGTTGTTTTTTTGGTCTGTGGTAGATGTCCTGAACCCGCGCTTCTAGAATAAAGGCACTCAGGTGGACTGTGCTTCTAGAATAAAGGCTAAGCATACGCAGATGGATCTCGGTCCAGTTGCATGGACTCTAGTCCTGGCTATTACAGGTTCGCTGTATGAAGTGCTGATTATGACCAGTTGCCACTTCCATACAATGCCAGCAAGTATTTATTGAATAATTAAGCTGACAGACATATAAATTTCCAAATACATTTCTACAAATGTTTCAATCACTTGACAGTAAAAAAGTGAGTTCTCATTTTAACCCGCCTCCTCCCCTAATAGTGCCTGAAGTCATGAGATTTTAAAGGAACAACTATGGTAGCAACGCTCCAGTCTCAGTTAGCTCCTGCTGGGTTCCTGGAATTGGGTGTGAAGCGGCTCTTGAGAGGCTCCCAGCACTTGTAGTAGTTCTCATCCAAACCAGGAGAGGTCTTGAGCCCCCACTTAGTGACGGCCATATTTAGAGAAGACTCAAACATAAATGCCTGTAGGGAATGACAAGAAAGAAGAGGTGAGGAGGATAACATAACGCATTTGATTAGACGTCTAGGGAGAAGATGGGAGCGGGTAGATCTTTGGATAATAAATCATGTGTGCTGGCATGGCAAGGGGAGCAGGCCCACACCCTGGGTTCTGGCTCTGACCGTAGGGTCTTCCACTTATCGGTGGAAGATACCTTGTGCAAGACCCTAAACTTCTCAGGGCCTCAAGTTTCATTCTATGAAATGAAATCAGGCACGTAAGCCTCGCATTGTCCTTGCAGCATTATGGGGCTAAATTTGCTAGATCCCAGGGCAGAGGTGGGAGAGTCCTAGTAATACTCATCCTCTCAGGGGCAGTCACTTACTGTGGCTACGTCCTGGAGAGGGAGGCCACAGCCCTCCCTTTGGGAGGTGAAAACTAAGTGTCAGAGCTGGGAATTGGCTTATCCGAAGTGATGGTAACAAGAAGTGGCAGAGCTGGGATTTGAGTCTTTCTCTTTCAGGACTCTGACCAAGAAATAAGCTGGGAAAAGGAAAAGGAGGTAAAGAGAGAGTGGGAAGGAAGAGGGGAGTAGGAGGCAGGAATGGCTGTAGCCGTTTTAGAAACCCTGTTCCCGAGGGCGTGGAGGGCGGATGCCCTGCTGTGCCCGGGAGGTCTTTGAGGTCTTTGTCTGCAGCAGTGAGCTTGTGTTAAGCGCTGTGTGCATTGTAGACATTCCGGCTTCACTGAGTACCAATTTTCCCACAGCAGTGGAGATGAGTGTCCCTGCCCAACTGCCCACGACAGGCTTGCTGTGAGGACTGGACAAGATCATGTGCAAGTGCCCTCCACGTTATAAAGCACTATACCGATATTCAGGTTGTTATCATGGCCATTATTGTTGTCTCTTTGCTGACAGCTTCTCAGGAGACTGGCTGTCTGACTGGAGTAGGAAAACCCCATCCCAGCTGAGCTATGAAGTATTGTATGAAGTTAATTCATTGCAAACTGAAACATGGATGAGACATGTAGATGGGCTTGGATTCAAATTATCTAAAGGGAAACGGTGAGGGAGGCCCAAAGTCAGGGCTGCATGAAGTGCTGGGCCCTCCACCACCAGGTAGCACGGGCTTCCTGGCTGCGCAGGGCTGTCCAGCTCCCAAGCCCCCACACAGAAGAGCTCTTTCTCATTAGTGCTCTGAGCCCTAGGCATTACCCAAAGTCTTGCTCTCATAAAAACAGCTCTGGCCTGTGCCTCGCTGTGGCAGAACATTGCTCTCTGGCCACACTGACTATCCCAAAGGTTACTGAGTAGTAACTGTGGAGTAGCCTGTGCATCCCCATGAGCCTTCAGAGGCAATAGCTTAACTAAGGTTCTCAAGCCATGTCTCTACAAGAGCTCCGTAGAAGCCCTTGCAAGGGCAATGCAGCTGACGTGAAACAGATGGGACTCTTCTCAGCCTTCCCCTATAAACCAGCCCTCCCAACTCTGGCCCCAGGATTTGGACTGAAAGCAAACTGCACTAGACAGAGGGGCAGACAATGCTCTGTGCTTAGTTAGTTTGCAAACTGGGCATGGAGTCAGGTGGGTCTGTGCTATTGATTTTAAAGTCAGGTAGCATTGAAGGCATTTGTTTAAAAATGTAATGCAAATTTGCATATAATTTAGTATAAAATTACTCCTGGTGGTTCATAAACTCTACCTCCAAGAATGCAAAAATAAAATAAAATCAAGTACCACAGCCGTCTGCAATTGTGTTCAGCCTTGATGTTTACAGCCTGACACAGGAGGAATACAAAACAGGTTTTAAATCCCATTGGTTTCATCCCAGGCCAAAGGAGAGCAGAAGAAAATGAGCAAAGAACAGAGAACTGCTGCTCACAGTCCTGACTGCAGTGATGCAAACCCTTCCAGACCCTCCTTGGTTTGACATCCCGTAGGAAGTAACATCCTGCATCCTCTGCTACTGTGGCTCTAGATGAGGATCACGTCAGAAAGCAGGAACCGACTCAGACAAAGCATGTACACACAGGGCTACATGCCGGTAATCAAAGACCCTTCTTCCCATAGTATTAATAATAGCCCCTCCCTTACATTCAAACGGTGCTGGGCGGTCTGTGAGGTTAAATTATGGCCCCCTGCTGGCTTGGTTACCATACCCAATCTACAGATGGGGAAAATGAAGCAGAGAAGTTAAGTGACTTAGTCAAAGTCACACAGAAACTAAGAACTGGGATTTGAACCCAGGCCTGACTCCAAGTTCAAACTCTTTCTACACTCACTACATTAGGAGTCTAGTAAACACGCAGGGGTGTGTGAATACACACATGGGAATAGACACACAGACACACACTCTCCTCTCCTGACTCCTCCTCTGTGACTTAGAAAAAGTGAAAAATAAACAGTTCTCTCAATAAGACTGGGGAGTCCAGAGGCCACCAGGGCCTGGCATTGAACTTGCTCACCATGGTGCCATCAGCAATCCTCTCAGGTGCCAGCTTGGCTTTGCTGGCCTTCTCGAAGCAGTCGGCATCGGGCCCATGGGGAGTCATGGCACTGTGTAGGCTGCCTCCTCCTGGCAGGAAGCTGCCTTGCTTTGCCTCATAGTGGCCTTTGATGAGCCCCATGAATTCACTCATGCAGTTCCCTGCGAAGGTTGAAGCAGTATTATTTTTATTATCCAAGGCAGACCCGTAAACATTAAGACCCTTCAAACATTATTTCTGCGGAATGACAAGAAGATAAGATTATCTGATACATTTTATTAAGATTAACAAAGAATACAGATTGACAAAAAGCAACCCTAAAACATTCATTAGTGTGGAATTCTTGGTACGCTCTACTCCCTGGACGTGTGGATTAGCAGAGGTCTTCTATTCTACTGCCTGAAAGAACTTAGGCTATATCTAAAGAAAATCAGACCTCAGAAAAGAATTTTTTAATTAAAATGCAAATTATCATAAAGAGCCAATGTAGTCCACCATTTAGTCTTAACGAGCATCATATCAAAAGTATCTTCTTCTGTGATTGGATGCCTCCTCACACAGCCCCATGGTAGGACACATGTCACCACTTCTGTCACCATGTCATGGTCCAGAAGACCGAAGTGGGTGCGTGGGTGGGTGGGTGGGTGTCAACAGAGGGGGATGTAATAGATGCTCTATTCCAACAAATACTGTATTCTATATTCTATATCTGAATCTGATATCATCTTATTCTTCCAACCTTGAAAATGGCTGTTAGATTCATTCTTTTCTATTTCCATTGACCCTATCCTCATAGAATTCTAAGATCTTGAAATTGGAAGGGATCCTAACTTCTACTCAATACAGAAGAATTTTCTGTATCGTTGCTGGCAGATTATCTCCTGTGCTCTGCTGGCAATGCTTCCTGTGAATGCAAGCTCGCTACTCAAAAGAGCTGCCTGAGCTCTCAAGTACCCAAGGCCTCTACTTAACAAAGCTCAGGGTGTTAAAGAGATCTCTCATATTAAATGGAAATTTGCTGTCACATAAATTAAATACATTGGTCCTAGTTGTGTTTTCTCGAATAACACAAAATTTGACAAAAATCATGTTGTTAAGTCTTTCAAAAGTATATTTCTAGTGAAATAAAACTTTTTGTTAGAATAGCAACACATTTAGAGCAAGAATTAAAGTAATGGAACACCTGGGTAAATTTAAGTGACTTTCCATTCATCCACCTGCCTACTCATCCACCCTCCCACCCCCGCATCCATCTGTCTATTCATCCATCAAATATATATATAATTGGACACTGTGCTAAGTACTGATGGAGATGCATAAGAAGCATCCTGTCTAAAATTACTCATATTCTGTTCCAAGACAGGGCTAAGAGTACAAACCATGAACACAGAAGAAAGATATGGCAGTGGCAAAGCCACACATTTGACATTATTAATGCCCCACCCCTCTTCCTTGCTTGTGAAGTACGGCCAGACGGTAAACTGAGCAGCCATATCCACCCTGCCCGACAACCAAATGATGCTGCAGGCCCCTGCAAAAAGGTATGGCCCAGGTCATAGCTCCACATGTTTCCCCATGAAGCAGAAGCAGAGGAAGAGACCTGTCTGTGAGCATCAAGTGTTTCTATTTTAAAAGCTCATGACTTAAATATGTAGCTACACCCCTCATGCTAGTGTGTGTCCTCAGGGTCACCTTCATGGCCTAATTTTAAGAAGAGAGCAACACAGAGCTCAGCTTTGATTTAAATATGAGTTTAGGTAGCAATGGGCTTGGTGATGACACTTCTATATCATTTTCTGTGATTCAAAGGGCTGTGGGGTGTAGACCTTGCCTTTCTGAGTGGTACCGAAACCACTTGACCAAGGCACAAGAAGATAATTGGAGGCAGTATTTCTGCACAAACAATTCTCCACTTCTCTTCTAAAGAGAAGATGGTACTTCTCTTTGTCACATCAAAGTAGCAATGATTTCGATTCTTGCTAAAGCAATATTTTAAATACCACCAGTAAAAAATCATTTCTAATTTGAGGTTCTGTGGTTTTGCCAACTAACTTGGGGCAACCATACATTTCCTGAGATCTGTCTATCCAGGGCCCAATTTATCTGAGACTCTTTAAAAAAGTTATTAAGAAGCATTTCACAAGGCCATTCGTTTCAGGCATTCTGAATGACAACCCGAGGTCAAGGAGTGGGTTGAGAGCTGTGGCGCAGTAGCAGCCTTGCCCAAGTCAGACTTCTCTGTCACCCCCTCCCGCCGTCTCCTCACGTGCGATCCGTACACCCTCCTCTCCCACCCACATCAGAATTCCTTGACTTATAAAATGCAAAATGCAAATTCTGAGATTCCACCTCAATACTGACTAATTAAATTCTCTGGAACTACACACTGAAAAAAAAAAGGCATTCTAAGTGATTTTCATGTCCCCCAATGTTCTCAAACTGGGTCCCTGGAACAGCAGCATCAGCTTCATGTAGGAACTTGTAATAAATGCAAACTGTTGGGCCCTACCCTGAACCTTCGGAAGCAGGAAGCATGAGGGCGGGCCCAGGGACATGTGTTTTAATGAGCCCAACGGCATGCCATTCCTTCAGGCAGGGAAAGGAACCTGAATATAAGAACTCTGTGAGACAGTGAATGACGAGGACTAGCTCATGAGGCACAGGCTCTCAGCCAGAGCAGCTCTCTTTCCTGGACCACAGGTTCTCTAGAGACTAATTTACGGGAGAACAGTGATGGACTTGACATTCTTCAGAAAGGACATAGTTTGTTACCACTTTACTCACGAAGCCTCTGGGGTCTTTGCAGTGGTAACTAATTGTATCCTTTTCTCAATCATCATGGAGTCACCTGAAAAGGTGCTGGGATCTGACGATGAAGTGGCCTCTGTCCTGTGGACCTCCACATATGCCTAAATTATCCCTTCAGTGCATCTTTCCATCCTGGTGAGCCCTGGCACCCAGGGGCTGGTGTTATGAGAGGAGTCTCACACACACAGATCTGAGATTAGTTAAGGAAAGGATTTTTAAAAAATTTTTTAGATTTTATTTATTTATTTTTTGAGAGGGGAAGGGAGGGAGAAAGAGAGGGGAGAGAAACATTGACAATGAGAGAGAAACATCAATTGGCCACCTTTCAAATGTACCCTGATTGGGAATCAAACCAGAGAACCTTCCCTTTGGGGGATGAGGCCCAAATCCACTGAGCCACACTAGTCAGGGTGACAAGGATTTGTTTTTAAGAATGTTTCAGCTCAGCATTTTTCCAGAACTCTATGTACAAAAATGTACTCTCCAGGAGGTGGAATTGTACACTGACCTTTAGGTTGCATTTTCAGCTAGCTACTGCACAATTAAAAATGCCAACCTCACTAGGTACAGCTATGAGGTAGCTTATTCTTGTGATGAATTCAGTTATTAAGTCAGTATTTATTAGGTGAGTATTGTGCACCAACCCTGTGCTGGCCACCTCAGTCCGTGGTCATGAACGTCCGCTCAGGCGTCAGATTGCCTGCGATTAAATGCTGACTCTACCACTTAACTAGCTGTGTGGCTTTGAGCAAGTCCCTAACCCTTCTTGTCTCAGTTCCATCCTCTGGGGAAAAAAGGGGATAAAGATACTACCTATCTCTGATAACTGTTACGAAGACTAAATGTTAATACTTTTATAGAACTTAGAGTCATAAAAAAGCCAATAATTGTTAGCTGTTAGTAATAGTAATATTAAGAAAGTGGATTTCATAAAATTGTGCTTTAAACAACAAACACTTCACAGAAACTGCTTCCAGAATAGGGTCCATCCCCTAGTGTGGACTGGCATCGGCTTTACCCTGCCAAAACCACTGAAGAAGGCACATACTCCTGGTTCATGCACCAGATCTAAGTAAACAACAAATTAACCAGCATTCCCCCTCCCCCAAAAGAAATATCTGAAACATAAAGACATTTCTCCCCTTCAGCCCTGAATGGAGGGTGCTGGGGGGTGGATGGGTCGAGTGACAAAGAAGAGAGGAAGAATTCGTGGACATGAACGACAGTGTGTTGGTTGTGGGGGAGGGCTTGCGGGTAAGTGGAGGTGGAAGAGGAAATAGGCGGGATAAATAGTGATGGGAAAAAAATTTGAAAAAAAACCCCAACTTTGTGCTTCATACTTTATCAGGCTTTCTACCTCTCTTCAGGGCAGGAGGAACTGGGCTTCAGCAATTACAAAGTGTTTTCTCCTCAGAGTCAATACAGTGCTGTCTAAGCGGCTAAAAGACTGGGGAGCAGCCTGATCCGGAGCCTCACTCAGGAGGCAGGATCTGGAACTCCAGCCAGGGCAGGGCACCCAGAAACACCTCCGGCTGTGTTCCCAATGGGCAGCGCTCACTGTTTTGCTGTCTGTTTGGTTCTCAAATGTGGCTTGGCAAAGGAGAGACTTACTGTGGTAATAAGGAGGCCTGAAGGTCTTATCAGCAACCCCCCATCGAGGAGGAAAGATGACAAAATCAGCGATGGCCACTCCAGGGCGGAGAGACTTGGCAGTTAATACTGTGAAAATGGATGGGTCCTGTGAAAGTACAAGGAGACACTGAACACGCGAGGAAAGGGAGGTGACCGGACAATCTCACACACACACACACACACACACACACACACACACACACACACGAGGGGGCTTTCAAGAGACACTAATTTCTGATCAAATCCCACAGGCCGGGCTCAGAAGCCTGGGCTTGTCAGGGAGGAGCAGTAATCACTCCTCTGACTTCCCCTCTTGCTGTGCTCGAAGCAAAATGAATTAACACCAGCAAAGAGGATTCTGAGCTGCTTTTTTATCCCGCTGAGCCCATTTCACATAAGCACTACCCCGTGGGCCTGAGGGGCAGTGGTGCCTGCCTCCCACATTCTTTTGCTTTCTGACCCTTGTTTGACTCTCAGATTTAAAACACACCACCTACGTCATTAGTCTGGGTGGTGGTGGTATCGAAGGGAGTAGGTCGGGGCCACTATAACGATTTTTGAAGAACTTTACAATCCTTTCCGTGGAAAGGTTCAGGTGCAATTTAATTAAAATCAATGATCCATGTTTGCTTTTGGATGCCACTGCTAAGGTCTGAATTCAAAGATGATTGAAATCTATTCCCCTCCCCTTTAGCATTATTGGTGGAGGGGTGAGGAAGGCGGACTGGAGGATTAGTAGAACAGGTGCATGAACAACTGATCACAGCAAGGGTCCGAGGGCAATCTAGCTGTGTCAACAGAGGTCCAAGGGCGTGCAGAGAAGGGGTGCCTACCTCTACCCAAGAGGATCAGGGAAGGCTTTAAAGAGGAGGTGACATTTGAGATAGGTTTTGAAGGATGAAAGGAGAAAGAGAAAAAGAGAGAAAAGGAGGAAGGAAGGAAAGGAGAAAGGAAGGAAGGAAAGCAAAAGGTATTTTAAGCACAAAAAAAAAAAAAAACCAGGAAAGAGATTAAAATGCACACAGGTTTTATTAAGGGGCAAGAAAGCTAAAGCCCAGGTGCACTGGCAGAAGAGAGAGAGGCAAGAGGAGGCACTGGAAAAACTAGTCCATGGCCAGCTGACAAATACCACACTCCGGAGCTCAGACGTAATCTTGAGCCACAGGGAGCCTGCAAAGCTTTGCTAATGCGGTGGTAGAATGATCAGACCTGAATTATTTGGGACAAGAGCTACTGCAGCAGTGCAGAGGGGAGGAAGCCTGAATAAATGCAAGTCAACAAATCAACCCTCTTTGCTATGAGAGTTAACATTTCTTTGTCTGTCATGAGAAATGATTTAAAACTGTTTAAGGACAGTGAGGCTCCAATAATGCTGTATCAGTGTCTCAGGGTCCTTTTCCATGCAGTTTTGGGCTCGATGCCTCATTTTCTTTTCCCTTCGATTTTATGCAGTGTTGCTGCTCTTCAGAAATGTAGTTTGGTTCACTCAGAGATACGCTGAACTGGCTCAGAGTAATCTTTCTGTCTTTGGTTCCCCTCCTTCGCTCTAATTACCCCTCTAACTTGTGCATTAAAGCTGCAAAATGAACTTTTCCCCAGGGCACCAGGGGAAAAGTTCATTTTTATCAAGAATGTGGGGCCTCAGGGGCCTGTACTGTAGTCCTGGCATGTCTTCGGGGCCCCTTAATTGAGTGAAAAATACGACCAAGTTCATACTCTAGAACTTCTTTGGTTTAAATTCAAGCACCGAACATTATGAGTAACTTTATAAGCGAGCCGTCTGCTCCACTGCTGCTGGAAACAGCCAGAGCGGAGGCGCCGCAGCCGTCTCCAGAGCAAGTCAGCCCTTGGTATTTGAGGGCAAGATGGAGAACATCCCAAATCCAGAAATGTTCCTTTCTTATTGCTCCATCACTAACACTAGCAGCTGGTTTTCTTTTGGGGATAGACTTTCCATGAAGAAAATAAGTTTTTAGCCATCTATGGTGACTGCTGTATGCAGAGAATGGAGCTGCGTTCCCAGGTGAGTGTGGAGTGTCTGGCCTGGCTTCCTCAACAGCTTGTTATTCTCCCCTTCACCAAAGCCTTGCTGCAGATGATTCAAATTCCTGTAAGCACAATGACAAATGACTATATTGCAGGTTTCCAAGGGTGACACTGGAAATGTTAAATCTGTGAATCTTAGGGGTCTACTGTAAACCCTTCTCAACCACAGGTGGCCTGCTTCTCCAAGGACCCTCCAGGGTCCAGACTTACTGCGTGGTCAAAGGCCACTGCGTTGATGACCATGAAGTTCTCCAAGTTGTACTTGTAGGGGGTGTAGTTCCCATGCCAGGCGATGACATTGAATGGGGAGACGTCCTGATTGCAAAAGAAGCAGAAAAGGGCCATTGTAGCACCTAATGCTTTTGTAGCTGTGATTCCAGTTTGTGCTTGGCATTACTCTCTCTTTTTGGATTTGATTTTGTTCTCGTAATTTAATAATACCATCCTTTGGGAGAAGTATAACCCCGAACCATTCTGTGGTTGCTTCATACTCCCTCAAAGTATCCCTCGTTTATCCACTAGCCCTGCTTTTTTAGTTCATAAGCTGCAGGTGCCTCTGGTCACATGTGCAGAAACATAAGCATGGCGCATTCTCTAAGCAGTGCCTTTTCAACAATTTTTAACACAACTGTGAGAATCTGTGGATGACAGCAATTGTCAGACCATCTGGGCCACCCTCTGGGTTTTCTGGTGCAAAGGGCAGGCACTAGCTATGGCTGTTTTCCAGGTAATTGCTGCCTAAAGGAGCTTCCAGGAGACACAGTGCCTGGGTGGAGTGCGGGAGGGTGAGAAGGTCTGTAAGAGTTCCAACCCCAGGGACTGGAAATTTCAGAGCAGTGCTACGGTGGTGCTTCTTGAGCCTGCCCTGGGGTAGGAGAGGATCAGTGTTCCATCATAGGAAGGGTGCCCTGCGGCAGATATGAGTCTGTGCTGGAAACGGCATCCAGTTCAGAATGTTCTAAGGATTTTACTGGAGGGACTACTCACAGAGGTGTGACTGGTGTTAAGCGAACTGACTAGAAGTGGGTAATGTGGTGTCTGAGCCTACGAACAGTGGGAAGACATTGCCATTCCTAGGCCTGTGGGACATGGGAAGGAAATGTTACAGGATTCCAGTAAGAGCTCAGAACCATGAAGAAGGTCTGCCCGGTGGTGGGCTGGTAAATATTTTACAACCAGCAATCTGGGAAAAATATAAAAACTCCGATTTCTGGGGTATCAATACTCTTACCATGATCATTTTTAAGCTACTGATGTGATATTGTTAATATACCACATCAAGCCAAGCCAGCATAAACTGGCTCCAACACGCCTCTGGGGCTGCTCAGCACCAGCTGAGATTGTGGAAGGCTGCAGATCCAAACAGGGAGGAAACTTGAAGAAAAACCCCAACTTGTCTTTCCTCTGCCCTGCAGTTTCCTGTGAGGACCTCCCACTAGTGGGACCCGACCCCAAGCCAGCTGGCAGGGAAGCCTGCGGGACACTGTCCATGTGGTGATCGGGCTCCCAGGACACAGATCATGGCAGAGAAGGGAGAATGGATCCCTGGCGGCTCACACAGAGGAAAACCAGCCCGGGGGCCACTCAGAAAGTGGAAACTCCTGGGGCTGCCGGCTGCCTCTCGTATGATGGTTCTCCATCAGTTGCATGTCAACAGTGATAAGGGGAACATGCTTGTAATGAATGCAGATTTCTGCACCCCATCTACAGAGATGATCGTTTTTGCCAGGCTGGAGTAGTATCTAAGGAACTGCATTTTAAAGAAGCCTCCCTGATGATTTGATTCAAATGGCCTCTGAACCACACTTTTAAGAAATCCGGACGCAGAGGGTATGAGCGTAACAATGTATCAATGAGGGTGACCGTTAACCCTCAGGGGCTAATTTTAAGTGCCAAACTAGTTGGCCTCTGCTGGTTAGCCCGTCTTCTAGATGCTGTCCAGTAACATGTCTTGGCAAAATAGGTGAGCAGTAAGTCAAATGGGCAAAAAATAGAGCAAACAAACAATGGTAAGCAGAAGAGATCTTTGGATCATGCTTGTTACATAATTACTCTATACTAATACATTATGCAATCAGTATATTAAGGAATAATATATACTAATTATATGCTATGTATTATATAAAATATGAATCATGCACTCTATATTATATAAAATATATACTAATATTAATATATTATACATTACATATTATGTTACAATTATTTTTGTTGTTATTATCTATGCCTTCGCTTATCTCCTGAGTTTTACCAGGCTGGTGGAGTAAACCAGATCAAGCTAATTCTACTTGTTTTGTGTGAGCCATTGCTAGTATTTTAAATATGGTGGCCAGTGATGTATGCAAATCTTGGATGATCTGCTTGTTAACTCATTTCCCTTTTTAGAACATATTAATCTGTCTGCAGATTATGTTATCGCTTGGGTTTTCATTACTTGGTGAGAGGAGAGAACATGACCGACAGATAAGGTTCTACCATTTACTGTGACATTTGGTAAATTACTTGTCATTATCTGGCTTGTTTTCATGGCTACGAACAGGGCAAATAGGACTTTATTTGTAGTGCCTTAGTGGTGTAGTAAAGATGAAAGAATACAATATGTATAAAATATTTAACACGGGCCTTGGCAATTAGTAGGTGCTCAATAACTATTCATTCCCTCCCCTGTGTACTGACCGCCCCCCCTTACCTGTTTGGCAGCAAACAGTTTTCCTTGGTATTTATTAATCACAGTGTAACCACCTGGCACTTGGCGATCTTCATACCAGGCAACAGGTATCAAGAAATCACGAGGATTGGCCAAGCCATTGGCTCCTAGAATACAATGACCCATAGTTTTTTAGACACTTTCGAAGTCACATAGGAAAGAGGTTCATCGCTGCACAAGGAGACAGGGCTTTCTTCTACACCAAGAGCAGCTCTACAATTCACTTGCACCATCCGAGGGCTCACCAGAGACCCAGAGTGGTGCCTTTTTAAGAGCAGCCAAAGAACTTGATCAGGAAAAAACAACCATGAAAGTCATGTTCCCCGTCACCAACATCATCTCCCAAAGTGGTAGCGAATATGGTTTCTAAAGCCACTTTACATCCACTATCTCATCACTGCAGGAGAGGGGAGGAGAGAGAAGGAAGAGGCTAGAAAAGAGGAAAGGGGAACAGCTAATAGAAATACTAGACCATTTCATTTCCAAGAAAACCAGGGCTCACCTGCAGTCCTTGATCTATAAGGACTGAGAAAGAAAGGGGTAAGTACTGTTGCCACAGGCAATGCCTCTATGCCTCACACAGAACTCAGATTCAACCCAGGTCTGTAAGACTGCTCTCCAGCCTGACAAATCCATCAGGGAGAAAAGTATTCAGGACTTCCCTGCTTGCCTTTGTTTTGCAAGTGTTCCCTCCAGGGAAGGAAAACAAATTAAAAGACCCAAAATGAAAAGTGTAAGTGCAAAAACATAATTTAACTCTGAGAGGAGAAACGCGGGGAGTGTTTTATCATTTCCAGTTCCTAGGGTTAAAAAAAATAAGCCCCCAGCTGGTTAGAAAATCACATGTATTTTCCAGAGGGTGCAAGTTCCACAGAACCTGGAAGCTCCGTGGACTGTACAGCAGCAGGAAGCCAGACCAGAGTGGGAAGGGCGGGTGGTGAGCAGGACAGACGGCCCGCCAGGACTCCAGCTGCCTCTCTGTGGCCTCCCACCCTCCTCTGATTATTAGGATCCTCCCAGGGGAGTGACCAGAAGGCAAACACCGGCTTGTTCCTGTTTTGCTCTAAAAAAGCTGGTAAGGAGGAAGAGAAGAATTGGGAGGTGCGGTTGCCACCTTCAGCAAACACGCCCAAGATGAAACCAAGGGCCAAATTTCTCGGCCACTCTTTTCACTCCAAGAGATGTTTTGAGGACAACGCCTCCTACCACCTTCAATTCTCTCCTGCTTGTTCAGCCTCCAGCTTGCCAGAAGAATCAGGAGTGGGGGAATCTTAGTTCACTTTTGAAAGTTTTAATCTGCCTCAGGAGGCTGTGGTTTCTAGCTTCTTCATAGTACTGTGTGATGTACCTTTTGGGACTGTTAAGTGTTTGGATTTTGTGGAGTGTGTTCAGTAGGACTGTGAGGTTCATAGACTATATGCCTGTCGGTCTGTTTCTCCTTTCCATAGGAGCGTAGCACCTGACATTTTTATGGCTTCCCCACTATATTCTCTACACACAAGTCATTGACTTAAGAAAATGATATCGTTTCTATTCCCAAAGCTCATTCCCTCTTGTGTGCTTTTGCTTAAGCTGTTCTCTTTCTTCTTTATTTTTCCTCAACTTTTCATCAAGAATTAGCGAAATCTCGTCTCTTCTGGGAAGCTGTTCCTTGTGACCAGGCCAATAGTATCCTAATCTTCTACATCCTATGGGGTGTACACAGCTCTCCAGTGGTCTATATATTCTTCTAGAGAGAAATTTATATGGGTTATACTGGGTCACTTTCTGTTACGCATGTCATGTGCCTGTGGGAAGATGCTGTGTTATTCTTGATGAGCTTCTGTCACTACCCTCAGCACAGCATGGGAGGTGAGACAAGCTGATGGATGAACACCCAGATGAGCTAATAAATAAAGACTTCATTTCTCAGTAGGGTCAACCATACTACATGGAGCCTCTGAATTTAGAGGTTTGGAAAGAAAGTCTGGCATTGCTCAGGGAGTTCTAATGGGTTTCTAAAATTCCCAACTACTCTTGGTCTTAGAGAAGAAGTTGTCTAGAGGAAAGTTAAAGTTTGAGTGAGATAATGAGGGAGAAGGATGTTGAACTCTCATGCAATTATTCATGTCCTGTATCTCAAGCCAGGCTTAGAGGCTTGTAGTGACGATTTACCAATTGGTCCCAGGTCGGGCAACTCGAAGTGGATGCCATAGACCTCCAGGATGTACCCCCTGGTCTCCTCGAAGACATCTACGCTGAACCGCATTCCTCTCTGGAATAGGAAGCAGAAACTTGTGTGCACTCCCAAATAATACCTGTGGCAATAAAGAAGCCCCAGAGGCACAGCCAACTCCCACATGCTAGGTTTGAGAGACAACCAACTCAGATTAGTTGGTTGACTCAGATGAGTCAGAAAAAAAAAATTAAATCCTAAACATGTCTGTGCCAAAACAAACTCTAGTCTATCCTTTTATTTGGTTCAGAGATAACAGTGCCCAGATTTGGCCACATTTGTAAGAAATCCATCTTCACTGCCCCCCCGCCCACATCCAGGGCCTTATCCAGAGTGTGTACAGCTATTTAGGAAAGTGAGCTGACATTGCTCTTTGCTTTGGGATTGTGTGCTATTTTAAAACAATGCAGGCACCCAAGCCTGCTTACCCTTCTGCACAGGAAGCCTTCTGTGTAACTCAAACTCTCCTCCGCCCCCATTGCCTAGTCATAACAGAGAAATTCTAGAGTTGGAAATAGCAGCAGCTGCAACATCTGATTGCTTCCAAATTAGAGAGAGGCAGGGAGAAGGGGATGCATTGCTCACCTGAATGACGCAGATCTCATTGGGCTGCACAAGCATCTTGCCAAACTCAGTGTAAATGAGAAGTTTCCCTTTCTGGGGAACTAACAAAAGACAGGGCAGCAGTATTTTCATGCAAGAACCACTTCATGAGGAGTAAAAAGTTTAAGGACTGCATTTACTTTTTCATTCCCAATGAAAAGAGCTTTAATGAATTTCATAGGGAAAAATGTATGACATCTTAGGTTACCTATTTTATTATCTAGAAGAATGTGAGTGAAAAAACTGAGTCTTTTTTTTATTGTCAGGTAATGAGCTTGTATATGCACAATTCTGTGGATTGACCAAAAAACGGCAGCTGAAATAGGGTAGGAAATCACCTATTTCTGATACTTCCAGCAGAAGGCTGTCATTTGCATGTCTAATGTTTATCCCAAACTGTTTACTCCAAAATATTGGCACTAAAATCATCAGAGGGAATGGGCAGACCAGTGAAATCTCAAAGAGACGTTCCATTTTTGGTGCTCTCATGAAAATCTGTATTTAAATTGCAGATATAAATGACAGTCTTTTCTTGGGAGAGTATGTAGGCAAATAGAGTTATCTTAATAAGTTAATCACATCTTGGTATTACTTTTCTTTTTTTTTTTTTTTTTTAGCTGCTCAGATCTACCGTATTAGAAGGACCCTACAGAAATGGGCAAAGTCAGAGACCAGAACATAGAATAGGGCCTTTGAGGTATAGTAGGAATCTTTTCCAGACCATCAATTGTCTTTAGACCTTAGTCTGTAGATTCCACTAAATAAGACAGATTGAAGGATGAAGGAACACAATGTGTATAAAATTAAAAAGCAGCTTGTGACTAGGGCTAAATTCACAGTGAAGGGGTCTGAACTCTTCAAAACTCACCAATCAAGAAGTCCCCATCTGAATTGTAAAGGCATCTGAAACATACAGAATCATTCCTGCGATTTTCAGTGTTAACACCATCAAGACAAATTAATTTACTGCACAAATGATTGTTCAGTACCCACTCTGTGCCAGGTTTATGCTAGGTATGAAATGGTGTACAAAATGACCCAGTCTCTGCCGTCATGAAGCTTCCAGTCTAGTAGGAAGTCAGACAGCAAACAAACATTTACACAACGGTATCATCGTAAACTGTAATGGCACCGTCAAAGTCAAGTCTAGGAGAATGAAAGAATAATGAACATGATCTAGCTTGAGGAGTCAGCAAAAGCTTCCTTGAAAAAGGTACATTTGACCTGTGGTCTGAAGGAATCATCTAGGCAAAGGTTTCAGGAGGGAGGAGAACATTCCCGGCAGGAGAGTAGTGCAAATGTTTGGAGACAGGAGGACTCACGGCAGGTTTGAAGAACTGGGTGTGGCTCAAATGGAGAAGAAGAAGTAGACACAGGGGACAACTCCTGTGCCTTGTGATCTTGGACTTGTTCATGGCTCAGTTAAGTTAAATGACTCGTCCAAGGTCACACAGCCAGAAATAGTGGAGTTGCCTCTGGACACAATGGTCTGGTTCAAAAATCATTATGACATTCTGATTCCTAAAGAAAAGGCAGGGATGCTATTCACATATTGAAGATCACTTATTTATTTATGATTTTATTTATTTATTTTTAGAGAGGGGAAGGGAGGGAGAAAGAGAGGGAAAGTAACATCAATGTTTGGTTGCCCCTCATGTGCCCCCTACTGGGGACCTGGCCCACAACCCAGGCATGTACTCTGACTTGGAATGGAATAGGCAACTCTTTGGTTCACAGGCTAGTGCTCAATCTGCTAAGCCACACCAGCCAGGGTGAAGCTCCTGTATTTAGAAACCTTAAGCTTATACAAAGTCTGTCAGCTTGACCTACCAAGTGGTTCTAATGACCACTGACAGACAGTCCTCACGCAGTGTGACTTTGGGCTCAAGAAAAGCCCTGGGAACCTTAGAAATTAAGAATATTCTACCCCAAACTGGTTTAAAGTCAAAATGCCTCTTGGACTACTGCTTCCCAGTGTCCCATCATCCCTTTTTTATTTGCATTGTTATGTGACATTCTTTTGTTTTTTTTTTAAATAAGGAAATAGTCTTGCCTTTTTAAAATTTATCTTAGAGGGGAAGGGAAGAAGAAAGGGAGAGAAATATCAGTGTATGGTTGCCTCTCGTGCATCCCCTCCTGGGAACTGGCCTGCAACCCAGGCATGTGCACTGACTGGGAATCGAACCACAGTTCTTTGGTTCATAGGCCCGTGCTCAATCCACTGAGCTACACCAGCCAGGGCTTGTTCTTTGACATTCTTGTTTATGCCACAGGAGTAGATCAAGGTAGAACTACTCACTTATTGTCATTATTAATAGATGCATACCAACATTGCTCTGGGAGGAAAAACAAGAACAAAAATAACAACCCAGAATGTACCCTCTGGTCAGCAGCTTTTGGGGGGCGGGGATGTCCTGCCTGAGCACTGAGCCACTTACCTGTCCTTCATGGAGGTGTTGCAGAGGAATATGTGGATGGCAAGCCCATTGTTAGACCTGATGTCTCCAGCTCCACACAAGGTGTGCAGGCCCTGGGAGAGACCCGCCGGAGAGGGAAGGGTGAACGTGAACAGTGAGGAAAAGGCCATCATTCCTCCTGTTCACGAGGGCCATGAGACAAAGTCCTAGTACTAGCATCTTCCCTTTGGGACCAGTGGGACATTCCAGATCCAAACTGCCTCTGGGGAGCCCAGAGTTTATTGATTTATGTTTGGTGGGTGGCAGCTCACCCCAGTTGCCAGTCATGGCCCTAGATCTGAATTGTCTTAATGGCTGCATTTAGGTGAACCTGCAAAGTATCAATTCATTACTTGGCATTATATCATTTTCTACTTATGATCAACCTGAAGGAGAGTTTCTATTGGACGTAAAATCAGGTATCCAGGTAGTGGCATTAGGGACCAGTTAATGCCTCTCAAATACACCATACCATGTGGGCAGCCCTCTATTAATGAACAGGGTCAGCCCTGATCTCTCCAGAACAAGGCAAAGGGAGTGCTTTGACCAACTATAATCCTCTGCTGACCACTCACCATCCAAGAAACCAGAACATACAGGCCTTCTAAAACAGCCCTCAGGCCCAGACCAGCAGACTGAGAGCCCAAAAAGAGAGAGTTCTGCTCATCCAGATATCCATAATTCACACAGGGTGGGGACTTCTTCTTGCATTTGAAGGTTGGGGTTCTATTTAGATGAGTCTACACAGGATTTGGAGTACTTCGTATGGATAAGGAGTTCAACATGATCCAAACAATTGGACCTGCGGCTGAACTCTCCCTAAATAAACCACAGACTGAGGTCGGTCTGCAGAATCTTCCACTAGCTTTCTTGGGCCCCACCTCTTTATAGCTCCTCTCCTGTTCCCCTACACACTCCTTGCTCTGAGCACAGATATTCCTATACTCTCAGCACCTATTACTACCAAGCAAAACTTCTAATTAGTGTTGTACTAACTAGAGTTGCCAGCCTGAGTTGATCCTATTCTAGCCCAGAGATCCATTTCAGGGAGTTCCCGAATTTAGACAAGAAAAATGATATATTTATTTTCACTAATCTCTGATGGAAATTTATCATTTCCTTCAATTAATGTGAACATAAGCAACAAACTACAGGAGTATTAGAAGTTTTTGTAACCTTGACATTGATAGAAACCAGGGATATTTTTATATCACATTATAGTTGTTATAGATATCCCCAAATGTAATTTTTGCTCATACTTCTAATCAGCAGAGCTATCAGACTTTCTCATAGATTTTGTGATTTAGAGCATTAATAAGGAAGCATACATGTTACTATAAACCAAACCAAATTTGTTGTTTGAATATTTTTATCATTGCATTTCAATATAATCATCTTCTTTGTAATTTTATGGCATTTGATTTATGCATTTAAGAACAAAGGCTTCATCAGACTATGAAAAGAATCTTTGTTCCAAAAATAAAGGAACCCAGGAAAGTAAAAGTTCAATTTCCATTGGCTTTTCGGAGACATAGTAAATAGCTCACCAGTGCCCTTTGGTGTCAGGGGTGAGATGGCACCTAGAAGTAAGACATCCCTCCACAGCCAAAAGCAGAGGCAGATGGCACTGTGTCAGGTACCTGCTTCTAACGCTGCTTCTGCTTGGCACTCAGCCCACAAACAGCTGGATCACTCACCACAGAAGAGAGGAGAACAAGCAGTGGGCAGGTGTAGGTAGTATTGACTTACACTCACGAAGTCCACCTTCTTCTGAGATGCTTTTGGAATCTCAAATGGTTTCCACCTAAGCTGGAAAAAAATACGTAAACAGGAAAATGATTTTGCAAGGGAAAACTATAGACTTTCTATATAAAAAGCATTGATTACACAGAAAAAGGACAGCTGCTCCCTGTGAGACTCTACTTGTGTGTTTGTTATTTTAGATTTAATAATTATCTATCATTTTCTTAAAGGGGCTCAGCTGGGTTCTCTGTGTGTGTGTTTAACCCATATGCATGCATACACACACACACACACATACACAGAGTTTTTGTCATTAACACTTTAAAACAATTCAGAAAAACGATCATTGCTTCATATTTCAGAGACTGTTTCTTTTAACATTTTGCTCAGGCACTTCAGGGAGTTTTGACTGATGCTGCTTTTAATGCTATTTATAATCAGCTCCCTTTGCTGGCCTGCCAGCCTCTCTGTGTGACACTGCAGGGCAAGGTTCTACTTCTGCTTCCAGTCCTTGGAGTTTTGAATTATTTCTTGAAGAGAAAGAAAAAGCACCCAGCTGAGACTGAATCTGGTAAATGCAGTACCGGTTTCAATTTTTTTTTTTACCAAACCCCATGTTTGTCCCCAGGCTGCCTGACAGTTTAGTTTAAATCACAACAATCTTTAATTTAATAATGAAATGATGCAAGGAAGTGGGGAGAAAAATCAGCAAGTCTATTCTCTACTCAAAGAGTCAGCCTGATGCTTATTAATCAACCTGGCAGCTGGCCTGACCCGGCCAGGCTGGCAGCTGATAAACCCAGCAGCCTCAGGACAGACCATGGAGTGGCCTACGACCCAAAGACTGGCGCCACTGGCTGCCCCATCAAGGCTGGCTAGCTAGGGCCTCCATTAAATAATCGGGATCAGATCATTCTGTCTTTCAAAGAGGCAGTCTGGCAGGGGGAAGTGAGCAGCAAGTGGGAACAGCAGCACTGGGATTTTTCTGCCTCTTTAATATACACAGTCAGGTAGCAGCCTTTACTTCTTGAAAGCAACACAGATGATCACATTCTGGGACTAATGTTGACTTGAAAAAACATTGTTGAAATCATGCTTCAGAACAAAGGAAAAGGTTAGGTCTAATGAATTAAGGATGATGTTTCTTGGGGCGGGAGGAGGAACCTTAGAGCAAGGACCTAGGAAAGGATTTCTCAACCTTGGTGCTATTGGCATTTTGCATTGAATAGGTCTTCGTTCTGGGGTCAGTCCTGTGCATTGTAAGGATTTTAGCATCATCCCTGACTTCTATTCACTAGATGCCAATAATGCCCTCTCAAGCTGTAACAACCCAAAATGTTCCTGTTGTCAAATGCCACCTGGGGGACAAATTTCCCCTGGTTGAGAACCATTGACCTAGGAGGGTATTCCCTGACATCAGGAAGGGCCGCCGCTAAGCATTGCTGGGTTTTTGAGGGGAGGTTCTGGTCTATTACTAGGTATTACCTGCTACTTTCCTTTATAACCAGCAACCCAGAGTGTGTGACCCAGGAAAAGTGTCAGGAAGATAATACTACCTAGAATCTTGGTTCCAAGAAGAGTCACCATTCTGGATTTCCCAATGGAAGAGATTTAAGTATCAGATCAATGGCTGCCTGAACAACCTTATAGGCCTATCCAGAGATTCTGAACTCTGTTTATCCATGAGAATCACATGCACAGTCTTTGAGGCCCATGACCACATTAAGTCAGAATCTGTGAAGGTGGGGCCCAGGCATCAGTATTTTATAAAAGCTTTTCTAATGTGCAGCTACAGGTTAAGGATCAGCACACCCAACCCAGAGATTCTGATTCTTGTATTGCTGAACCATGTTCAGAAAAGTGCACTCAGTCAACCAATGAACCAATCAACTAACAAATCAATCAACTAAAGTGTGGCATCTTGGGCCAGATGTGGCAGTGACATGCTAATTACCAAATAGCAAAAATATTTAAATAATATAAGTCTAATGATTTATAAAACTAAAGTAAAAGAGCAAGAAAATGAGGGGGAAAAAAGAGAGAGGAGGAGGAGGAAGAGGAGGAGGAGAAGAAGAAAAGAAAGGAAGAAAGAAAAGAAAGAAAGGAAGGAAGGAGGGAAGGAAGGAAGGAAGGAAGGAAGGAAGGAAGGAAGGAAGGAAGGAAGGAGGGAGGGAGGGAAGGAAGGAGGGAGGGAAGGAAGGAAGGGAGAGAGAAAGGAAGGAGGGGGGTGAGAAGGAAGGGGAGGGGGACAATACAGGGGAGGGGGTCCCAGTAATAAAGGCAGCACTGCCTGGTTTGTTGCACTGATACAACCCCTTTTTCAGATATTCCTGAAATTAAAATACCTGTTATAAGTAGATATAAAGTTCTGGCCTCTAGAAAATGGATTCATCTTCTTAGAGAGGGAAAGATTGAACCAGAGAGGCTGATGGGTTGAGTTGGTTAAGTTTTTAGTTCTTCAAAGTCTTCTGGAGCACATCAGACTTTAAGCCACGAGGAAAGAGAGCCTGAGGTAGCAGGTGAAAGGGAACCTGCACGATGAGAATAGAGAGTATGCCTTCAATAGGGATCACATCCTAGATGAGGCAGTGGCCTCAAAGAACTTTTCTGGAGCTTGGTGTGAGATCTTGCTGAATGTAAGGAGGAAGAACTGAGGAAAGATAAACAGGAAGAGTCCATGGAGTGAAGGATAAAGTCGTCTGCTAAATCCAGATGTGCAGCTTAATTACATGCTGTGGAGCAGCTACTGTCTGATTCACTGCCAGCACAAGGTAGGCTGTGCATTGGACTGAGCCAAGAGACCTAAATTCTGCTACTGTCTCTGTTCCCATTTACTCTGTGAGCTTAGGCAAGTCATTTTCTCTTCCTGGACTGTGTTTTTTCTTACATGTAACAATGGGGTGCTGGAGTGTTGGGAACCACTCTGCCTGGTTTCAGGAGTTGTAACTGCCCCCCATGGCTAAGGCTGAGTGAGCAACCTCCAGAATGAGAGCCACTAAGGAGACAAAGCTTGTCTCTGACAGCAACACTGCTTCTGCTTCATCCCCTGCCCTCAACGCTTGGTGAGTTAGTCAAAGATGGGTACAACCCCTCATGTGGGGGCAACCTAAGCCAGACACGATCACTTGGGAGGCCCTCAAGGAAGGACTGGGGGGACTGCAACAAAGGGGAGTGATGGACTCTCGCCCCCCGGATATTCTGACATAGTCCGAGCCCCCGTTTCCATCTGGGAGAAGCGCTTCCTGGCTCTAATCCACTTAAGTCTGAAAATTTATGATGGAGGAGGCAGTACAGCCCCTTGCTGGCTAGAGTGGGATCTGGGGTGATGGGGCATAAGATAGAATTCACAAAGTCCTGTGTAGCCTGCTTTGCTAAGAGTGTTTTCATTCACATGATAAGGGTCGGAGCAGGAAATGAGTATGTCTCCCAAAGTTTTTGCAGCCCTCTTACCTGACAGACACTGACTCAGACTAAGCCCTCGGATTTCTTTAAAATGTTATCTACTGTTTGATCCTTGCCACCTGACATTGATTGATGAGCTTTACCTGTGATTAAATGAGGATGGTCTGCCAGATGCATTCCTAACCCAGAGTGTGGGAGAAAAGGTAGTAAAATGGTATATTAGCAACCCAGGCGAAACTCAAGGACAAAGTGAAGAAAGGATCCTTAGGTTGGTTGTACAAATTGTGTTCTAGGCTATGGCCCTGAACAGCAGGAGGAAAAAGAGGCAGGAGCTGAAAACCCAACCTTGTGTCTTGGCAGGGCACTGTGTGGCAGGGCTGGTGGTTGGAGCGGGCACTGACTTTTCCCAATATGCTCACAGGCAATATACAGGCCAGTGGAAAACTGGGAAGGATGGGTACTTCATGCATTAAACTTCGCACAAGTGGAAGTTGAGACAAAATATCCTGGTTTCAAAATGGCTGTGAGGTGGATGACATTTGAAGTTGTTAATTCACATCTCCTCCCACTCTGAATGACTCCTTTTCTGTTCTTGATGGGGGAGAGCGAGTAGCATTCAAACAGTACTTAATCCTCTGAGATTTCCGTAACTAGGGAAGAGATGGAGCAGAGCAGGAAGACTATGAATTATTCTGGTTCTTTCTACAAAAACACCTAAACACTTAGGGGAAGAAGATTTGTAGGTACAGACAAATTGTCTTGGTAAGCCAAGGGGAGGCAGCAGATTTTCTTGGGCTTTGGAAAGGGGATGGAGGGAGTAAAAGAGACTGATTGTTTTGTGTGGACTTTGGTACAGAGCAGGGTTCTTGAAGCTGTGACCTGGCAACTCCCAGAAGGAGGGAATGGCTGTGTGGCATGTCCAGGACGACAGGACCACAAGTGGTCTTGCACATGATTCCACGACCAAACCTGGCATAACAGCAACAGAACAAGGGTGTCTCAACACTATCCAGTGCATAGGACCAACCAGCAAGGCCCAACTCCCACTCCTACTTTAGCATCCTTTACCACCAACAATTCCCAGCCAAGATGAAGATGAAATTGTTTTCTGCTGGTTTGGCAGACAGGACCTCAGAATAAAAAATAATGTAAAATGAAAAAACAAGTTTATCTAAAAATAAATTTTGCAATTCATAGGTAGTACCACTGCCTTCAGGTAAATATATCAAATGGCTGTGGGCCAGGTGCTATTTGAAGCACCTTCTCACCAGCTCTGTTACATACTCTTCATAACAGCACTGCACAGCAGGTTACCATACCAATTCACAGGGAAGATACCATGGCTCAAAGACACAGCAGGCACTAGAGGCACAGGGAAGCAAGCCTAGGTCTGTTTTTCTGCCTGCACTATACTATACACATTATCAGTGAGATCTACCTAAACTCAGGGACAAAGGGAGTACTAAGGAGTTCTCAGAAGGAAAACATATGTATAGCCTAGTCCATTATAGTATTGAGTCAGTCTCATTACTGAAAGCAGGGCACATAAATGCTAATGCCCCGAGGAAAAGCCCTCTGGTCACTCAAACAAAAGGAGGAAACTTAGGCAAGAAATGGAAGTTCCTAGGTCTGCAGAGAATGTGACAGCAATCTGTCACCACAATAAATTTACAGAATCCAGCTATAACAACAAGTCTTTCATCTGTATATCAGAAACCCTTTTCCAGATATGAGTACTGAATGTGTTTTCTATGTTCTGTGATAAGTTTAGATTAAAGCAAACAAACCAACCTATGGGTATGTAGATATTTTCACTAGCTTATATAATTTTCATTCATCTGACTCACCTTGGCACTCCTGCCAAGTCTGAACCACTTCTGTGACTACCTAGATGCCATTAGGCTAGAAAACACAAGTTTATACACACACGTGCATTTACACAATTACTGAAATCCAAAATTCCCATCCAAGTTTGAAGAAAAACAACAGATAGTTTAATATTTATTTTTAAAAAAACTGTCTAATGTCTCAAAGACCCAGGCTTGACTTAAATATTTATATTCAAGGCTTTGGATAGATAGTACGTTCCAATTCACAGAATTCAGTTACCTGGTTAGGATCAGGATCAACTTCATCCCAGCTGTTAGTGACATGGCCTTGGTCAATGGACTCAAAGGGCTTGTGAGAAACTGAAGGGAGAATCCTATACAGCCAACTGGGAGGAAACAAGGACACATGTCTTAGGGAGATGTTATGAGTGAGATACACACCGGGTCAGAAAGTACCACTGATATGGGAAGCTTTGAAGAACCTTTGTTTACCCTTTATTTGCCCAGGCCCCAGGCGCCCTGGGGAGAATGATGGGGCTGTCTGGGATAAGTAAACAATGGTGCATTAGTTAGGGCTGAGATTAGCACCCCTGCTGTTAAAAACTAACCTTCAAATTTAGCCTTTGTACTTTACTCTCGCCTGGTAGCTAGGACTAACTTCTGCATTCCTGCTTCTGTATCTTACTTTACTACCCCAAAGGCTATATTAACCTTTGTTCAGGGCTCAGAATTTGGAGACTGACTCCTCTGGGCCCGTGAACGTTAATAAACCTCGACGTACTCCAGAAACCCTCGGTGTCTGGTTGCTTCATTTTCCTGCAACGCCACCAGGAAGATTCTCAGGTCAACAATGATCTGTGGGCTTTAAAAGCAATGACACAGCATCACTTCTTAACAACCACTGCCCCCCATAACCTGGCCTCTTCTGGCCTTTCCACCCTACCCATTACCCTTCATATTAAGGCTCTGGCTATTGGTTATTCCCATACTGACAAAGAATGAACAATTGTCTTTCCCAATGACAACTATAAAGGAAAAGGAAGTACTTTGAAGGTTATATGTATTTAAAAAATCCATAGAAAAATATTAGCATATATATGTTATTGGATACCAATCCTTGCTCTGGAAGGTGATGACAATGAATCCTTCATAGATTGAGAAGATATGGCTGGTTTCTTTGTTTTATTTTCGAAACATAAATCAGTTTTCTACTTCAAAATTATAAACATAATATATGTTTATATTATGGTAAATATAATTCAAATGGTAAAAATAACTCAAGTATTTCAAAAAGTTCTGAAAGGTAAATGGCTTTCTCCTCTAGTTTCTTCAGGACCAGTCCTCAGAGGCACCAGAGCTCAACAGTTTTCTTGTATATTTTCTCAGATATGTCCAATCTGTATATGAGCAGAACCGCTAAGTCATTGTACAACTTTATCCTCAAAACAAAAATATGTGAAAGTGCCTAACCACCCAGCTCTTCACAAATATGGCATACTATTGATAATTTTTCCATTGCAGGCAAAACATGTTTCATTTTGATTTTGAATTTTCTTTATTATGAGTAAGGGTGAGAATCTGTATGTTAATCGGACCTTTGTGATTTTTCTATGAATTACTTGTACAAGTCCTTTACAATTTTTCTCTTGGGTTACTTGTCTCTTTGATATTAATTTGTAAGAGGTTTAGGAAATTAACACTGCTGTACTCCAAAATGATAAGACCATCTGTCCTTATTTTCTTATAGATTTTTTCTTCCTTCCTCCCTCCCTTCCCTCCTGAGTTTTACTATCTGTATATATCAAGGTCTGAGCCAAAGATCTTCCTCAGGCTTCAGAAGGAAAAGAAGACTCTGATAAAGAAACCTTAAAGGACACCAGGAGGACAACCCTCCAGAAGTTGAGAGGGAGACTAAAACACAGTAAAAGGGACTCAAGTCTTTTCAGAGGCCATTGCCCTGACAGAGTACAGAAGGAAGAGGAATACTAGTTCTGACAATTGAAAACCAGAGAAGCTTGAACCCATAGACTGTCCCTTTAAGCACTAGGACACTCTACATCAGAGGGTGAAGCTGGCCTGATTGCACACTGAACCATTTGAGAGATAAAAAGGCTACATTTGTTCAGTTTCCATTTGATTTCTCCAGCTTTAGATAATATGACCTCAGACCTTGGACTTTGGGGCATGAAAAACTAAACTTCTCTGGCTTTTGGTAGTCTATGGAGTTGAGAGTGTGAGTGTATCTTAGAACCAACTGTGTGATTGTGGGCAAATTAAAAAACTTTCTTGACCTCATGTTTTTCATCCTGATCTCCTAGGGTTGTTGCGAGGATGCAGAATTTATGTACCTAGAATGCCTGGTCCTGGTGCACAGTAGGTGCTCAATTATCAGAGTCATGTGGAATTGTCTGTGAACCCCTAATCATCTGGGTTTTTGTGATAGTCCAAAATTTCCACATTCCCTGTTCTAAGTCTTACTTTCTCAGGACCTAAGGGATCTGTTAACTGATATGAAAAAAATTAATCCTCAATAGATAGTTTCATGGGGCTTCTGCATTCTGTGGTTTCCATGAGTAGTGACTAACTGTAAGGATTTTAGGCTTGCTCACCTATTCATAGGACTGGCTCCATCTTCCCACTGGGAATTTTTTATCATTTTCACAAAATTCTTATGGATATCGTTGAAAAGTTCTAAACAGATGGGTGAGCCATGTCTAGTGTCCCTTGTTTTTTAGCTGAGTTTATAAAAATCCCCGGGCGGCACTGCACTGTGCTGGACAGAAGTTTAATTCTGATTTAGAGACTGGTGCCAGCTTCTTAATGAATTGCCAACAGCTCATTTTCAGCCCCCTGGATCAGAGCTTAGCTCCTGCTGGCTGGAGATATTGCTGAATAATAGAGGCAGGCAGCGGAATCCAGAGTCCAGGTGTCTCATTAGTGGGTGGGACAGGGAGTCATAGAGGCCAGGTTGTCATAAATTAGATTGGATAGGAATTGTCTATGTTTACCTTACTTTGACTATGTGGGCTTACACAGAGAAGATGAAATAGGAATTAATAGAATTAACCCCTGATTTTTGACAAGTATGGGAAACTATTTCTTCCTCCCTCTGTATATGTGTCTATGGAGAGAGAAGCCATATTGGTATTGACATGGTAGCAACAGCACCTGCCGTATCTCACACTGAGTCCTCCGATAGCCTTCTCAGGGATACCCTGCATTAGAGGAAGAAAATCTGCCATGATGGCAATAATAATGATCATCATAATTAATATTAACTGAGCACTCATCCTGTGCCAGGCAATGAGCTAAGCACTTTATATACGTTATTTCCTTTTAACCCTCATAACAATTATGAAATAGGTACCATTATTGTCTTTTTGACAAGTGAGGAACCGGAGGCTCTGAGAGGGTAGATGACTTACCTAAATTCACACAGCTGAAAAGAAAAGGAGCCAGGATTGAAACTTAGGGGGCCTGACCCCAGAGTGGACATGATTAACCACTAAGAGGAACAATATATCATTGTTCCTACGTGGTCCATCATGTTTCTACGCTCACTATCTTATTTGCTTCTCAGGAGGACTCTGTGGAGATAAACCCCGTCCCTTCCATTAAGCAGTACCAGATCACCTGCCCATCTCCCCAGTTCTCCAGTATCAGTAGCAGACCTCCTCACAGGTGCCCTAGCCTGAAATTCCTACAGTAAGACACTGCATGTTTAAGTCAAAACACTTACTGCCTCCCCAAACCACAACAGTGACTGCATCCAACCTGCATCTAACCTGCCCCTTAGGAGTTCATCAAAGGAGCGAGCTCTCTGACCTGCTTGCAAGATTAGGGTAAACATGGAATATGAATGTGCTGGTTTCCAGCTAAGGCAAATTTCAAAGAATAAAAAGCTTACTAATTCAAACCACAAGGGGTCTTAACACATGACCCTTCAATAATCACGCTTGGCTTATCCAAATTCATCATGCAAAGAAGATTCAGGTGAGGAAGATACTGTGATCAATCTATAATTTTGAGGTGATCATTATAAAAAACAAAAAAGTGAGCCAAAATCCAAAACTTAATTAAACAATCCTTAGGGGAAGGCCAGACCATTGGGAACATTTTCTTCTGAGTACGAGCGAGAATTTGTAAATGGCCCTGGACACGTGTGTTTCTAGGCTCTGTGCATCCGCTCTCTCAGCTTCATCCACCAGCCGCTGTAGTCAGAGACCAGGCCTGTCATCCTCCGACTGTGATCCCGAGCACAGCCTGTGCAAAGTAGGGTCTTAGGCAGCCCTGTGAGGCTGTGGCCAGGGTGAGGAGGCAGCATTAAGTAGCAGTCATAAATCCCACAGTCTGAAAATCGGGATTAACCTAATTCTTTTACCTTCTCTTATTGGTGCTCCGAGGACAAGTAAAAGCTGATCCTGAGAGCTGCTCAGCATACAAATTGTAGGGACAAACTTGAGGATTGTTCTAAAACAAAGAAGGTAATACATTACATCACTCCAACCTGAAATGCATCTCACCTTCCCACAAACAACTAATGGGAGGATTCTGTGCTGAATGGCGATGCTCTGGGCCGCTGCATATGACCATCCCAACCCATACATACTTCCTGTAATAACTTGTAGGTGACTTTTTCCTCTGATTAGAAAAGTAATATATATGACATATAACCCATTACTTCACCATCCAGAAATAACCCAATTTTGGCATATTGGTATATTTCCTTTTATTCTTATCCTCCAAAATGGGGGATCTTATGATATATAGAGTTGTGTAATAACCAGGACTTTTTAAAGAGAGGAAACCCTATATTGGGAACATTTTTCATTACGTAAAATATCCTTCAAACTTAAAAAAATAATTTATAACCAACCCTAGTGTGAATCAACACTAGTGTGCATACATTTTTAGGACTAATTATTTTGTCATCATTGTTATCTCTTATTTTGTACAAGGGAACTACAAAAAAGTTCCCTTAACCGTGGACCCAGGGGATCTTCCTGAAGGTCCTACAGTTAGTGTTTTGGGTTGGGTGCTTTGCCATAAAATAACCACCATCCAACTTTATTTTTTGTATTGTCATTGTTCTATATTGCAGTTGTCTTAAGGATTTGTTAAACTCCAAGATGCTTTACAGGCTAAACTACAAGAGCTATGATGGGCAGAGGTGCTTTGCTTAAGAGCTGGTCATTCATTCCTATAATACAGAGCTCTCTAAGCTAGTATTCTATTTACTCATACCTGTCCTTCTGGCAGGGCACCAGGGCAGCGAGGGTCCTCTGAGGCACATTCGTTCCCAAATCCAGAAATGTACTGCATGTGACAAAAACACAAAGACCACCGTCAGTGGAACTTAAAGAGCATTTGCACAAACTGACAGTCTACAAAGGTAAGAGTTTCTATATGAATATGTGTTTGTGTATGATTTTTTTATACATAATGTGATTTTCTATGTTTTGGCATGTGAACAATTTAGAAAAGATAATATGTTCTGTGTGAATTTTAAAGACTGCCAATTAATTGGGAGAGAAATTCTGAATATTGACTCCACCCTTCACTATACTTAGTCAATTTATGGGCTTGTTCATAATTACCCTGCTCCAAGAACAAGTTCTTTAATTCTGATTCCATGAGGGATTTCCTGATGAGGGAGATGGTTCACATATCTCCTCATCCAGATTATTAGGATCTTAGATTACAACCTCCTTGAGTTTGGGGAGCTCCACTCCCTATTCATACTCTGAAATAAGCAACTGTAGAGAGGCCTGTGGATCTACTCTGAGAGCAAAGCCTTTGAGAGAAAGCTCTCCAAATCATCCTCACAGGAAGAAGACTACTTTTATCTGGCTCATCTATGGGATGTATATATAAGTGAAGTCTAAAAATATGGCTGGCTTGCCGGAGAAGTGACAGACCAGAATGCACCCACCATAGCAACATGGAGTCCATCTTAATTGCCATTTGTTTGCACCCAGAGAAAATAAAGTTAGGGAGTTTCTCCACAAAGTAAAATATGTGGAGCCCATGAAACTCACTGTTACACTTAACACACCTTTGCTTATTCTCCGACTCATCTGCTAGTTTATAACCTCCATGAAGTCTGAGACTATGGCACCCCTCTGTACCTCCGTATGCCCTGTGCCTGGTGTGTAGAAGGTACTCAATAAATACCTACCGTCTGATTTAGTTGTCACTTAGATCTTATCCAAATATGAGTATATGTTTGCTGTTGTGAGGTTAGGACCCCCTTTTTTCTAACTTCAACATTAAAATAAATGGCTATTTTTCCCCATAGCTGTTCCTAATAAATGTACTTAATTTTAGCCCAGGAAAGTACAGCCTTGCTCAGGAAGTGAAATGCCACCATCTGAGCACATGTCTTTAAGAGATATAAGAAGGATGTAAGTGGGTGGAGGGTAAGCCCTCCAGACTTCTCAGCAGCATGGAGAAGGAAGGATGAGCTGGATGCAATGTGCCTGCATGTGTGAGCGATGATCGGGCCAACAGCTGCGTATTTGGAAGGAATATCAAATGTGAAGTGTCGTGACCTACAAAGCAATGGAAGTGAAATTCTTTTTGCCTCTAGACACATTTTTTTGTATATTTGAAAAATATATCAGCACTAAAAACATCGAGTTCTATTCTACACAGATTGGTTAACAGCAGTGGCATGCAGTTTGGAATGGCTTTGTGGGGCAGGAATGGCAGAGACCATCCAGCATTCTGACTCTGCACTGAACACAATTTTCTTCTCTGTAAGTGAACCTCACGCTCACCATCAGTGGGATTGAATCTGAGCTGCTGAGAAATGGTAACCACCCCAGATTTTGCAAAATGGAATTTTATACCAATCTGTGACTGAACCCAGAGAGAGTCACAGTGCCTTCATTTTGTTCAGCTGCCTGGTTGTTTCTCTCCTCCAGAGAGGCAGGAAAGGGTGAGTGCTGAGGAATGCAGCCCATCCATGTGGCAGGCATATGTCGCTTTATTCACTAGCTTTCCCCATTCTGTGCAACTGCTGGCCTCAGAACGGAGTCCACCATTAGATATATTCAGAACAGGGAAAAGATTGCTTTTTAAAATGAGGGGAAAAAGTAGAAAAAAAAGCTGGTGGTTTGGAAGGGAGCCACCCAGCTCCCAAAGAGGTGTGAGTCCTGAATCACTTTCTCAGTCTTAGCTGTGGTGCCTTGGCTGGAGGGGACAGTGGAAATTGCTGAGTCGCCATCACATCAGTTGGTTTTCCTAATCCTCTGGGAGAAAAATTACAGACAAGTTTGTTAGAGCTTTAAAATTCCATGTCCCTCACTGCTGAACGTATCTGAATTAAGGAAGCTGTTTTCTGCAGCTGCTTTCCAGAGGCTTTTGACATCAAGGACAAAATCTAAATTCTGCTTTTATCTGCTGAGAAAATCCAAGCCTTCAATTCCAGCTGATTCAGTGACTAAGTACAAATATACCTTATACCAAAAAAAGTCTGACATTTAGCGAGTATGTTTGTATGTTTTCTGCAGTCCAGATTTCTGAATAATTTCATCCAACAGAAAAATGATTCCATTTTATTCCAAGAGAATTACATGCATCCTTTCTAAATAAAAACAAATTATGAAGCTCTGTGTTAACTTCAGTACCATCAGTTCTTTGGCAACTCCCCTGTATATGGCTTTTTAATTTTCACCTTGTCCCCAGGATATGATTTATTTGTTAAAAGTAGTTTTATGAGGTGTCTTCTACTGACTCTGATCCCAGGTAACAAACACCCTGATGGGATGAGCAGATGGTGCACCTCATTTCCTTTTACTGGGCATGCAGGAGAGAGAGAGAGAAGTCAGGGTAGAGATGGAGCTAGAGCTACCATTGTTCCTCTGTAAAGAGTCCAGTATTTCTAATTCACCTTTTTGGGAACATAGGTTGTCAGGAGAACTTGCAGATTATTGCAGCAGGCTGGCAATGACCCTCAAAGATATTCAACCTTAATCCCTGGGATTTGAGAGTGTTACTTTATATAGCAAAAGAGATGTGATTGTTGCTGACATTATATTGCAGATGTGATTAAGTTAAGAATCTGCATTAAGTTGAGATGGGGGAAAAGCATACTGCATTTTGAGGGGCATGCCCTAAATGTAAGCACAAGTGTCCTTACTAGCGGTAGGTAGAGGTGGGGGGGGTTGACTACAGAAAAGGAAAGGCAATGTGTAGGAAGCAGAGTTTGGAGTGATGTACCCTGAAGATGAAGATATTAGTCAAGGGGTGTGGGAAGCCTCTAGAAGCCGGAAAAGGCAGGGAAATGGCAAGGCAAGAAGCGGCCTTGCCAACACCTTGACATTAGCCCAAGGAAACTGATTTCAGAGTTCTGACCCAGAGAACTGTGAGAGAATAAATGCATAGTTTTAGGGCACTAAATGTGTGGCAAGTTGTTACAGCAGAAACAAGAAACTGATCCAACAATTAGGTTAAATCAGTATGACCTGTCTTTGGCTAATTGTTGGGATCACCCCAGAAGTTTGCTAAATGCAGACCCCCATCTACTGAATCGAAATATTTGGTGAGGCCCCAAATCTGCAACTTAAAGCTCTTTGTTTTAAAAATGAGGAAAAATCAAGACGTACAGAAGTGAAGCAATTTAAGAACATAGTGGTCTTTTCAATTTAATTTTCCTGTTTATCTTTTGAATTTTCTCCCCCTACTTGTGCTTTTATGTAAATGTGATTTTACCTGAGGCTTTGTGTTGACATATCCATTAAAGTGAAGAAATAGAAGCTGAGAAATATTTTAAAACATAAAATGCTTATTGGTTAGAATGATGCAATCTGGTTTTCTGTGCTTGGATTCCTGATCTCTGCAACTAACCTTTCCTCCCAGAGATTAGACAGCAGGCCAGGAAGAACGCCTTTGAAACTGAGAACAAAGGCCAGCATGCAATTTACATTGGTGTGCTGGCTCTGTGCATAGTAAGTTGTTTATAGACTTCAGCAGGATAGGATTTATATATAATTTATTTATAAAGGGTAAGGATGTTTCCAACCCCTGCTGAACTCCCCCATAGGATTTTTATCAGGAAACAGTTTTTATGAACTCTCCTTCTTCCAAGACTTCAACTACACTTTTGCTATAATGACCTCCCATATCTGTTCTCCTAACCTTACCCACTGCCCCGAGATCCGGATCCATACATCTGACCACTTCCAGGGGAATCTCAACTTGGCTCTCCCGGCAACTAAAATTTAGCTGAAACACTCTTGGACTCCAGAACATGCAGGGTTCTCTGTGTGTGCTGTGCCTTTGTACATAACCCACACATATTTCTCATTTGCACATTAAATGATAAAAAAGAATGATTTCTTAGAGGAAGTGCTAAGACTTCTACTGGCCCAGGGATGCTTGTGGGCATCAAAATAACTGAGTAGATTAAACATATCTAATTAGTCAGCCAGAGGCAGTCCAGAAGCTGCAGCAACAGGAAGGTGCTGAGAGTGAGGGCCTGGGAGAAAAAACCGCAGTGAGAAATCTATCGACCCATGGTGGGAGGGAACCCTTTTGAGATCTACTGATTCCCAAGACAATATTTGAAATGAACAAAAGCAAAAGACTGATAATAAGGGCTTCATGTCTCCCCCATCAACCCCTCCTACCGCCCCCAGACCCAGCCATGTCTATGGACATCACAGTGAAGACAGGGGCTTGGACCAGGGCTAAGTCCTTTCTAAGGAATTCACAGAAGCTTCTGTAAGTTCTGGCTGAAGTAGCCATAGCAAACTTGGTAGTTTCTTACCTTCAATTCTGCCATTTTCCTTCCACTGCACGTGCGGTGATTTCAGGGAACTCGAGCCCAGATAGGGTATGAAGCCAAAATGCTTCTGTTTCTTCTTCAAACCACTCTCTGAATGTTCTTGTTCTCACTACTTTGCTGTGCTCACTGGTCAGCAGGTCACCCAAAACTAATGACAAGAATGACCTAACTGGTAAAGTAGGGAGAAAGTCCAGCATGCTTATTTTCAACTAACTGCTTACATCATCGCCTTTGTTTACTGACCTCAGGCTGTTTCCAGAAGAGTTTTCAGAAGCTTGCCTCCTCTTCTCCTGAGGTTAAGGTTGGCTAATGATTTATCCCAGTTGAAAAATTGCTTCTCTTAATTTCCTAAATTCTTAAAAATTTTAAAACAATCTTATTTCCTAATACCTTATTTCTCTGAGAATAGACCAAGGGGTTACTTCCCGGCCACTTTTCCCATGACTCCCTTGTCCCTCATCGGGTATTGACTTTGTGGCTAATTGTATTCAGGAAGGAAGAAACCATATATTGAATGTGTGTTCTTGCCAAATTTTTCCATGGACATGACCTCATTTAATTTCACAAAAACAATCTTGTGAACTAGGCTTTATTATTACAAACTCAAGTGCAACAGGCCAGGCAGGAAATGTAAATGGGTTAAGCAGTATATAGGTGATGTTTCCAAATGGAACTTTTATACGACACTCCAATTTTTAAACACTGGCAACTAAATAAAACCAATGTGGTAGATTGCAAAAAAAATGTCCACCATTCCCTTCCATCCTTGTATGCGTGCCCCTTTGCAATGTGACTTTTATGCTCCTCCCATCAGGAGATGGTCTCTCTCTCTCTCTAATTTCCTGGGATCTTACTTTGGCTGATAGCAAACATGACACAAGCAGAGGCTCAAAAAAGTGTTGTGCCTTACGATTTGTCCATTTCTTTCTACTCGAGACCACCACACAATGGGCTAGCCTCCATGAGAATGCGAGACCACATGGAGAGAGAAGTTCGGGCAATAGCCCAGCACTAAGTACCAGGCATGTGAATGAGGGAATCTGGCTGCCAGATGACTGCAGACACATGAGTGATCCCAGGTGAGACCAGTGGTAGAAACAGCTAACCCAGTCCCAATGGCTGACCAACAGAATTGTGAACAAACAGAATGGTGCATTTTATGCTACCAACCTCTGGGGTGGTTTGGTAAGCAGTGATAGGTAACTGATACAATTACGTCAAAAAACATGCATATAGGTTTGACGTGGCTATGGGCTGCCAGTTTAGACCCTCTGCTTTAAATGAATGGGTCTAAACAGCATCCAGAAGAGGTCCCTAGGCTCTAGCATAATGCAGTAGCAGCAGAATGATTTGTCTGTGTATAAGGTGTTAGTACACAGAGGGCCAGACCAAAGGGACTATGGTGATAGAAACAAGTGACAGGTTGCTAGCAAACTGTGTGGATTGATACCTGTGGACCAGGCAGCATCTAGGACATCTCAGCATGTATCAGCATAAACAGATGACGTGTGGTACCACATAAAATTCTCTGGAATTTATATGCAAGCCTTTGAAAAAGGGGGCTGAAGACCCCAGCTTTACTGAGGCTGAGTTTTTATATTTCCTTTGGTATGCAGACACAAAAGTAAATTCAAGAAAAGCCAAAAATAAATTCAAGAGAAATATTTGTTTCCAACTGAGTTGAGTACATTGGATCTAAGTGTAGGATCTCTATTGATCCTAAAAGTTAGCCTTCGGTGGTTAGAAAAATAAATGGGAGCCAATAAAAGACAAAGGAAAAGCTTTTCTGCTTTATTTTTCTTTAAACTTTCTCTGCTTTATCCACTGACGCAGCTTTGAAGGCAGATTTCAGAGGTGTTTCAGTTCCTCCTAAGGTGTGAGAAATTTCCTGAAGAGAGTGGTAACACATCCTTGACTGGATGAAAATTACTTAGAGGGGCCTGAAAACACTTAAAATTGAATGAACCTGTCATGAAACTTTAGGGGTTTCTCCCAAGTGGGTTAACTATTTCTTGTCTTTCTCCTTTTTTATAGCAACGATTCAGTAAAACAAGCATTTGCATTGTAACTACCATGTGCCTGGCCCCGTGCTAGATATGCACAGGGGACATAAGAATAAATATAAGTTCCGACTGGCTTTCCATTTTTTATGTAATCACACACTCATTTCTTTATTTTACAACTACCAAAGACCTGCTATGTGCCAGCCTCTGTGAGATGTGGGGGACACAAAGATGACCTTGACCTGTTCTCTAGCTGGCAGTGTACTGGTGAAAATGACCAATACATGGGCCATTACAACTGAGTGTCACAAGTGCTGTGACAGGTAGAGGCCAGGGTGCTGCAGGAGAGATTGGGGGGCCACCTGGCCCTGACCAGGGGGGCACAGAGGGCTTCCCAGAGAAGATGCCTGAGCCAAGTCACGTGGAATTAGAGTTGAATGGGGCGCTGAGCAGAGGGAAGAGTGTGAGCAAAGACAGAGGGGAAACGAGGTGCATTTGAAGAACTGTGTTTAGGGCCGTGTGACTGAAATAGTGGGGTGGAGGGGTCAAGTGAGGGAAAGCTTCCAGGAAGGGAAGAGTTTGGGCAGATATTTGAAATAGGGGAATAGGGACATCTTCTGGCTTGGGCATGTCTTTTAGGGTTCAAAGACACCCTGTGGAAGTCGGTTGTGTGTAGGAGCAAGGCAGACATATACTGGACCAGAACAAAGTCACAGCATCAAAGTGTTCAGCAGAAAGAACAAAGATCCTAAAAACCAGGTAGAGGAGGATGGATTTGGTGAACTGACATGGGAAACATGTGAGGAGAAGAATTTGAAAAAGACTAGGAATTGGAGACACCAGGTACCTGCTTCTCCCAGATTCTAGCACAAGATGGGGTTACTGTTCACAGGAGCTCTAGAAGCAAAGTCAGAGAAGTTTCAGACATACAAACACCAGGGAGTGGGGACCAACACCAAGTGTGACAAGTGATGATGAAACCGCCAGCCTCCTCTTCCCGGTGCCCTTCCAGCATTCTATCAGCAAGCGTTTTACTGCCCCCACACAGAAGACTAGAAGACTTTTCTCTAGGACAATGGTCTATAAATACTATACATTTTATTTTATTTTATTATTATTTTTTTAATATTAAATTTTATTTAGTTACTTTTCATGTACATTTTTTTTTATCTATTTCTCCCATCCCACCCCACCCCCCGCCCGGTCTCCCCCCTCCCTCCCATTCCCCCCCCCCCCAGTCCTCATCTCTGTGTCTTTCATACTTGTTCCTCAAAATCCCTTCCCCTTTTTCCCCTTAAGTTCCCTTCCCTCTCCCCCTCTGGTCGCTGCCCACTTGTTCTCTATTTCAGTGTCTTTGTTTTTATTCTGTTTGCTTGTTTGTTTTATTCTTTAGCTTCCTGTCAAAGGTGAGATCATATGGTATTTGTCCTTCAATGCCTGGCCTATTTCACTCAGCATAATGCTTTCCAGTTCTATCCATGTTGTTGCAAAAGGTAGTAGCTCCTTCTTTCTCTCTGCTGCATAGAATTCCATGGTGTATATGTACCACAATTTTTTGATCCATTCATTTACTGATGGGCACCTAGGTTGCTTCCAACTCTTGGCTATTGTAAATTATGCTGCTATGAACATTGTGGTGCATAGGTTCTTTGATATTGATGTTTTAGGATTCTTGGGGTATAATCCTAGCAGTGGAATTGCTGGGTCAAAAGGCAGGTCAATTTTTATTTTTCTGAGAAAATTCCATACTGTTTTCCATAATGGTTGTACCAGTCTGCAATCCCACCAACAGTGAACTAAGGTCCCCTTTTCCCCACACCCTCTCCAACATTTGTTGTTTGTTGCTTTGTCTATTATAGCCATCCTGACTGGTGTAAAGTGGTATCTCATTGTGGTTTTAATTTGCATCTCTCTGATAGCTAACGATATTGAGCATCTCTTCATGTGTCTCTGGATATTCTGTATGTCCTCTTTAGAGAAGTGTCTGTTCAAGTCCTTTTCCCATTTTTTAATTGGGTTCGATGTCTTCCTAGAGTGGAGTTGTATAAGTTCTTTGTATATTTTGGAGATTAAACCTTTGTCTGAGGTATCATTGGCAAATATGTTTTCCCATACAGTTGGTTGTCTTTTTAATTTAATACTGTTTTCTTTAGCCATGCAGAAGCTTTTTATTTTGATGAGATCCCATTTGTTTATACTTTCCTTTATATTCCTTGCTCTAGGGCACATATCTGTAAAAATGTTGCTGCGTGGAATATCTGAGATTTTCTTGCCAATGTTCTCCTCTAGGACTTTAATGGTGTCATGGCTTATATTTAAGTCTTTTATCCACCTTGAATTTATTTTGGTGTATGGTGTAAGTTGGTGCTCAAGTTTCATTTTTTTGCATGTAGCTGTCCAGTTCTCCCAACACCATTTGCTGAAGAGGCTATCTTTACTCCATTTTATGTTACTGCCCCCTTTGTCGAATATTAATTGACTGTAGAGGGTTGGGTTGATTTCTGGGCTCTCTGTTCTGTTCCATTGGTCTATGTGCCTGTTTTTATGCCAGTACCAGGCTGTTTTGATTACAGTGGCCTTGTAATACAGTTTGATATCAGGTATTGTGATCCGTCCTACTTTGTTCTTCTTTCTCAAAAGAGCAGCTGCTATTCGGGCTCGTTTATGATTCCATATAAATTTTTGAAGTGTTTGTTCTATGTCTGTGAAATACGCCATTGGTACTTTAATAGGTATTGCATTGAATCTGTATATTGCTTTGGGTAGTATGGACATTTTGATGATGTTAATTCTTCCAATCCATGAACACGGTATATGTTTCCATTTGTTAGTGTCTTCCCTGATTTCTTTCTTCAGTGCTGTGTAGTTTTCTGCATACAGGTCTTTTACCTCTTTGGTTAGGTTTATTCCCAGATATTTTATTTTTCTTTTTGCTATATCGAATGGAATTTTTTCCTTGATTTCTGCTTCTGCTGATTCATTGTTTGTATACAAAAATGCCTTTGATTTCTGGATATTGACTTTGTATCCTGCTGTTTTGCCAAATTCATTAATTAGTTTGAGCAGTTTTTGGGTAGAGTCTATAGGATTTTCCATGTACACTATCATGTCATCTGCAAACAGTGACAATTTTGTTTCCTCCTTTCCTATTTGGATGCCTTTTATTTCCTTTTCCTGCC